CTTTTCATCATTGCCTCTTGACTCGGGTATCATGTTACGAAATAGACACAAGGTCTCTTCCCATCAATTCTCTCTACAGGAGCTCCTAAGGGTGGCGTTCCAGAGATAGACAGTTCTGTGGGGCGTTTCGTCGAACACCTTGCGGGCATGACGAGGGACTCATACTTTGCGTACAGAGCGTTGAGTTTTGTGGAAAAGAAGCCGTATTGGAAAAGGCCGGCTTTGAGGGTTTGAGAGTGCAATTGCGCCACTGATTTCCCGCTGTTACATGATGCAAGCAGATTAGCAAGGACTTCCCTCCTTTTGATGCAGAAGAACCACTTGGTCACCCAAAATAACCAGATCGAGTTTCGGTAGTGGTCACACTTGTTGTGGCTATATGTTGCATGTGTCGAATCCAACCAAGTGGGTTTTCTTCGTTTTTTTCCCTTGTGTGGTGTGTTTTTTTTCTCTATTTGACGAGATGTATAGAATTTTATAAAACTTGTAGCATTTGCATGAGAATTGTCGGCAGAATTAAGCAAATGAAACGTATGTTACATGTTTCGTTTGTTATGAATGTGTGAAGGATAAATGCTTCACATTTTATCAAATTAAGATACCAATTTTAAGAATTAAGAAAATCCAGATTTATGAATCTAAACTATTCAACAGATACATAACTCACTTAAATGTGTGTACAAAATCAACTAAAATATTCATAGTTATGTGAATAGACAGACCATTAAGTCATTTTTGCAAACTACCACTCTCTTTCTTTTTCACTAATTCTCTTACTCTCTACCGATTTTTATTTTCCTATAGTTTTTACGTTCATGAGTGAATAAGGTGCATTATGAGCGTACATTATATGAGCCTGGTAACACTAATGAGGAGGACTATCATACTATACCATATGTGTTTGGTGGTGACGACGACTATCATACTATACCATATGAATTTGGTGATAACGACGACTAATCCGTCAATGACAGATATAAAAGAACGCACAACCCATGACAAATACGTTATTTTCCTTTTATTCAAGAATCTTTTGTATTTTCCAATCCAAAATCTTAGGCTCACACTTTTTTGCATTAACTTATATCAACCCTAATTGTGCTAGAATTCATAGAAAATGAGATGTTAATTATTAGCCATCAATCAAACCAGTGGTCAAGCTCATTAGGGTCCGTAGGCTCTCATCCTCTTTCCACCGCCCATTTTTCCTATTACGAAAAAAATATAGTAAAAAGCAGTAGCACGCACTTCGCTAGGCTACTGCCTTTTACCTGTTTTATAGTTATATTTAGTTCATCCCAACAAATCATCTCCAACATTGGTTGGTCATTTTTCCATTCTATGCTAAAGGTTTTGCAAAGCTCTTCAACTGAAACGGCCTTCGTAACGTGATGTCTTTAAAAAAATTATACATACAATATTAAAACATCACGTGACTATGAACTCATCACATGTGAATCATTATGATTATATTTTAATGTTAGCATATTATATTTTGTTAATGTTAGAATTGGTCCTCAGACTTTGTCCTAATTGGAGCATTGATTGCCAAACTCTGGCTCATCTGTCTGCATTTAAAATACAATTCAATCAATGCAAAACCCACAAACATGTGCCATGTCCAATGCAACCTTGTCTATGTCCAGTGCAACCTTGTTATGTTTGTTCATAAACCCATGACGTCCATCAACATCAGTTGAACCAACCTGTACACCACCTTTAAAATAGAATAAGGTCGTGAACTAAGGGTGGATTAAAAATAGGAAAAAAAATGAAGGGAACACTGAACCGAAACCTAAAAAACGAATTGAACAAAAAATCGAATCGAACCGAAATCATTTGGTTTGGTTTCGGTTTCAATGATTCTAAAACCGAACCGAATATATCTTACTTTTATTTATTTATTTAGGGAACTGTTATTAGCAGTTCAACAATCTCATTCTACAATCCTCACAAGTACATTTTTCTTTCTAATTATAGAAAGTTTGGAGTGCAAATGAGATTTTTGAAGTGCCAATAATAATTTGCTAAGAGCACATCTAGCCTTCTTTCAATTTTAATGGGGACACTAGGTAGCCGTGGAGCAAGAGTTGTTTAATACTCTGACTTTCGATGTAAACGTTGCGATTCGAGTTTAATAATATTAGCTAGGGATTGAAGTACTTATTGCAATCATTTATTGATGGTCAAATATGATGGTTCAAAAAAAAAATGCCATTACATTATATATGACCATTAATGGATAATTGTACTAAGGACATGGACGAGACCTAGCCAAGTTCTCATATTCGATGTAAATGCAGGTTCCCAAGTAGGGTGGGCATTTTAATCGGGTCAACTGATCAATCCAAACAAAATAATGAGGTACTTAGAAATTTTTAATAAATTTGATAATTGAGCACGTCTTGATTTATAAATTTCATGGCCTATATGAATATGTATTTAATTAATTTGCATCATGTGTTATGGATTAAATTTTTCAATAAGAATCGTTATCGTGCCTCTCGCACTCTCGTTTAATACGTCCACTAGCAATTATTCAAAACTATATTATATTTTAATAGTTTGAATGTTTCAAACCAATAAGAACAGCTGATCCACCTTAATTAAAAACTGATTATGCTTTGAATAATGATCGCGTTGCCGTCGACAATGACAACCTCTAAGAATAATAAGGCCTATTAAATATAATATATTGGTAGATTAGACTTAATCAATCAAGTCCATGTAAAGAAAGGATCCGGCTTCTCTGCCCTTCCACTTTCAATACATTTTCATCACCATCTTTTTGTGCGATCACGGTTAAGCTATGTCAACATTTTATATTGATTTTTGTATAGAGATAATAAGATAAAAAATAATAGTAATATAAAATGTGAACGTGACTTAACCGTGACCGTACAAATAAGAGGGGATGAGAGTATATGAAAAGTGAGAGGACAGAGAAGCTAGGTCTGTTAAGAAAAGCCTTCTTACTACAAATGCGGGCATATTATTATGAGAATTTTAACGAAAAGATCACGGTACTGTTCATTTTAACAAAAAACCATATTTTTACATTAAAAAATTAAACCTGATATTATTCATTTTACCATTTATTTTGTCATTATCGTTAAAACTCAAATTTTCAATCCCAGTTTTTGTTATTTTTTTCTCGGATTTTTATCACAAATAGTCCCTGACATTGATCAAACACATCATTTTGATCCCTGACATTGAAAATCAATAGAAAGGGTCCCTGACATTGATCAAACACATCACAAATGGTCCTTCCGTTAAAAACTTTTTGGGCAATTTTCAAAGTTTCGTAACTCAATCGTTTCTTAACCAAATTCGACCCATGATATATCAAAATGAAGATAGGAACGTGTAGAACAAGATTATACCTATTTGGCAGCCCAATGGTTGATGGAGATGGCCGGAAAATAGCCTCCAATGTTACTGGTCAGCAAAAAAACTGGAAAACTCGCCTGAAATTGGGTAAACTTTAAACATTCATAAATTCTTCAATAATCAATGAAATCGAGTGATTCAAAAACGAAAATCATACTTCTCGACGAGACTAAGAGAATGGTATCTTTCTTGATGGCTAACTCATCGTAGTTTGGCCGGAAAAAGACTCGAAATTGGCTAACTCGAAAATGGTTATCCAAGTTCGAGCCATTTTCCTGTCAAACCACAGTAAATTATCAGTCAATAAAGGTACCATTCTCTTTGTCTCATTGAGAAGTATGATTTTCATTTTTGAATCACTCAATTTCGTTGAGTATTGAAGAAGTTATGAATGTTTAAAGTTTACCCCATTTCAGGCGAGTTTTCCAGTTTTTTCGCGGACCAGACACATTTGAGGCTATTTTCCGGCCATCTTCGGCAACCATTGGGCTTCCAAATAGATATAATCTTGTTCTACACTTTCCTATCTTCATTTTGATATATCATAGGTCGAATTTGGTTAAAAAACGATTGAGTTACGAAGCTTTGAAAATTGCCCAAAAAGTTTTTAACGGAATGACCATTTGTGATGTGTTTGATCAATGTAAGGGACCATTTCTATTGATTTTCAATGTCAGGGACCAAAATGATGTGTTTGATCAATGTCAGGGACCATTTGTGATAAAAACCCTTTTTTTCTCCCTCCCATATTTTCTTACTCAGCCGCATCTTGCATCTTCTCTCCCTCTACTTTCTTCATTATTTTTTGCTCTCACATCTTCCAACGATCCAAAACATTAATCAGGAGTTTCGCTAGGAATCTTGGGAAACGATCAGGAGTTTCACTTCTTTGCTTGAAATCAATGAATACCAGCAGCCTCGCCCTTGCAACCGCCGCCGCCGCCGGTTCGTCTTCCTCTCGGCGTTCAAACCTACGAGGTGTTCCTGAGCTTTAGAGGCGAGGACACACGCACTGGGTTCACAGACCACCTCTCATTGCGTTAAGCAGTGCCGAAATCAACACATTTATAGACTACGAGCTCAGAAATGGGGAGAATATACAGAGAGAACTTGACCGAGAAATCGAAGGGTCGAGGATCGCGGTCGTCGTCTTCTCAAAGAGTTACGCGGAGTCCCGATATTGCCTGAGGGAGCTATCGATGATCACGAGGTGCCGAGAAGATCAAGAGGGGAAAGTAGTCTATCCTATATTCTACGAATGAACTAATTGTTAGATTATTAACACTAATTTACAGACCCTAATTAAACTAACTGTGAGATTACTTAGCACTAAAAAAAAAGATCGTATCCAGTGCACGCATGGTCTGGGAGAGGTGAAGCCTTACCCCTATTTATGGAGAGGCTCTGCTCCCAAGTCTCGAACCCGAGACTTACCGTTCATGAGCGAAGGCACTTACCATCGCACCAAGTGCGACCTCTTAGATTACTTAGCACTAATTAAGTAAAAAAATTAATTATGCAGTACCAGATTATCCCTTGAAGCAAAGCTGCAAAGGAGGAAGATGAGCACTAACTCGGATCGATCATTTAAATAGGAAAATGCAGTATTTAATAATCAATATATGATCAAAGAAAACAAAGAGTGGGAGTGACTGTTATTATAACATCCATACTATCAAATAACAAAACGAAAACTTAGCAAATCAGTGATCAAGTACTAAACACAAACGTCAACAATTCCTTAAGATATAATTACATTACAAACCCAGTTTTGTTGAAGGAAATTTGAACATGTTCATAAGAACCTATCACCCGTTGCAACTCAACATGGACTAGGCTGTCAGGTTCCCTATGCGTCAAATGCATTGGGCGATGTTACCTGAAAGCAATAAACCAGTAAGAGCGTCACTCGATCTAGAACATGATTTCCATGTAGAAAACAAGCATCATTACGCAGTACTTGTACACATAAACACAGTACAAAAAAACCAAAACATACCCGATTACTGGAGAGAGAGCCTGTGACTAATTCCGCATAGACTACCAGCTATCGGTAATGACTGTTGGCGAGTGAGTTATGTCATCCCAAATTTGCACCTTAGTTGTCGCAATGGTTGCAACAAATTCTTCCGGCATATTAGTTAATTTCAGCTGAGTGAGATTCTTCAAGTGCCTCAACCCACTTGGGACCTTCAAATTTGTGCACGCTCTTATCTCCAACTCCCTCAGATTTTGCATTGCCTTTTCCTCCACATCCCAATCTTTTAGTTGTTGGAGCTTCCACAACTTTAAAACCACAAGCTTTGGAAACCCTGTGGTGGAGCAAACCATCTTGATACCTGTATAAGAGTTGGAGTAAAAACTGAGGAATTTCAGGTTGGAGAGATTCTCTAACACGGGCATTGGATCAACTGACAGAGAAGCACCTGACAACGTAAGATCAGTGAGATTTTTTGGGAATTCATCTATCATGGAAGGATTTAGCTTTCCGAACAAATTTAGGCAGGAGAGACTCTCAAGGCCTGATAAGCACACGCAGACTAGATCACTGGGTTCACCCATTTCATCGATTGATCTCATTCTCAAAGACCGAAGGCTCTTCAGCTTAACAATCTTGTCTGCTAATGGTTTTTGCTCTGGCTGGCTTAACTGGAATGCCAATCCCAATTTTCTGAGGTATATCAGCTTGTCCATCCAGTGGATCAAGGGACTATCTTTATCCAGAAATACTCCCCATAATGTCCGCAGATTCTTCAGGGAACTTCCACCTTGTTGATGCTTAAATTTACTCTGTTTACTCTGGTTCAAGTACAAGTGTCGAAGTGTCTGCAGTTTCCATATTGAACCAGGGAGAGTGTGCACATATGTATGTTTCACATCCAAGGTTTGGAGGTTCAGCAAGTCACCTATGGATGCTGGGACTGATTCCAGGAAAGTCCACCTCAAACCAAGATACCTCAACTCTTTTAGCTTTCCTATGGTATTGGGCAATTCAGGTCTGAATACACGTTCGAGATCAAGAACCTGTAGCCGATGGAAGAAACCACCTGCGATGCCTCTTCGTAGAAAGTTGCCTATTTCTTCTCCAGGTTTATTTCCTTCTCGAGTATCAAAGGAGAGGATGGAAACGAGATCAGGAATTGGAACGTTTGAGCTGTCACCATGAATAAGAGTAAATGTCTCGTCGCTTCTGTTATAACGATCAGTAAGTCTTTCTTGGCTCATATCTGGCAACTCAAATTTCTGTAGAGCATATGGCAATCGACATGTCTTGACTTCTCCGTTGTGCTTTCTTTTGACTACTTGAATCATGTCCAGGTGGATCAAGTCGGACAAATACTTATCTGCAACATCTTTGCCAGTTTCTTCCGTCTCCTGATCTCCTACCAAACCTTCTGCAATCCACAATGCGGTTAATCTCCTTGCCGGAATTTCAAAGTTGTTGGGGAAGAGTTTGAAGTAAGAAAGACAGTTTCTTAGATGAGGAGACGAGTGAATGGACCTTATAGTGAAGGTTTCTAACAATGGTGCATCATTCTGTTTGATGTATCTAAGCACCCCTTTGACCTCCTCAGCCACGCTCGCATCTTTCCCTAACATCAGATATCCAACATGGAAGATTGCTTGTGGTAAACCCCCACATTTATCTAAAATATCTTTTGCTAGTAATTCCTCTGTTGGCGGAAAGTGCACCATCTGGGTGAACAACTTCCAGCTCTCTTCTTTGGTTCGAAGTCGAAGTTGGTGGGGAGCGTCTGCTTGTGAAGCCACAATGTTGTCACGTGTAGTGAGCAGAATTTTGCATCCAGATGATGTTACTGGAAATTCTGCTTTCAGGGTCTCCAATTCTTCTACCGTCGAGATGTCGTCAAGAACTAAAAGGTACCTTTTGTCTTTCAAGACATCATGCGCCTTATGAATCCAGGATCCATTGCGATTTTTTTCCCCTTGTAGTTGAAGAGACCTCAATACCTGCTCTGCCACATCTTCCAAAAGTGCTTTGTTATCAGACTTCTGAGGTATAGAAACCCAGGCACGGCAAGGAAAATGGTCTACAACAACTCCATTGTCATAAATCTTCTTTGCCAGTGTTGTCTTTCCTATGCCCCCAATCCCCACAATGGAAATCACCGAGCGGTGTTCGTTGTTGGTTGTCAGTTGTGAGACCACTGCTTCAGTGTCTTCTTCCAAACCAACCACTGAGTTTGACTCTTCCCTTACTTCAATGTCATATGCTCTGATGCATTTCAAGAAAAGATCAATAGTATGATTTATGAGGTCAATGTCACGGGAAAGTTTCCTCCCAGCACTTGTTTTAAATAGAGGGTTTTGCCACATATTGAGTGAATTCCACTGAAAGGTAGTCAAAGATTTCTCTGCACTATCAAAAATTTTCCGGGTTTGCTCCAACCAAGACATTCTGGAATTATATCCTCCTCCTGTTACTGATGCGCCAAGTACGAGTTTATGCATTCTTTCCAATTGATTGCACAACGAAGTGACTTCATAAAATACTTCACCCAATAAAGGTGACTTCTTACTGAGGAACTCCTGCATCCTGCTTAATCTAGTTGAAATAATTAAGTCGTCTTGAGTCTGATGTGGGGACTGATAGACGAATTTTGATGAATCTCTTCTTAAAAACTTGAAGCCATAACTATCTTTCCTTTCTAAGAGTTGTGTGAACCCAACGTGTATACACCTTATGTCCCCCTTGAGCTTTCTCCCGGCCTTCCAATTGTTGATAAATGATAGCCACCTAATTCTCTGCAAGTACTTGTCAATGGCATGATGTGCTTCATTAATCATCTCGTGCACTTCCTTCACCCAGGCCCCTTCAATTTCACTTTCGAATCGAATTCCTTGTACATCTTTCAGAAAATGATGCAGTTGCTGCAGTTGCAGGTTTATTGAAATTATTTGCTTTCCGGTATCTTTACGCATTAAATCTGGCTTTTGAGTGATGAGACGTTTTATGTTCTCTTCGACAGTGGACGCCAAAGCAGCTGCTGAGGAAACTTGTTCTTTGGACTGCACCCATTTTTGTTGACCATGTCCATGCACGGGCCTGGGCAGCAGGCTTATAATACTGGACCTTGACCTCTCCAGAGATTCGCCAATGCCAATCCAGTAATCCTTATTCCCCTCAAAGATATCCTTCATGCCCTGCTTAACAGTCTTAGTTTCTGTGAACAGCTCTGATACCTGCTGGAAATTTTCAGTGATCATATCGAAACATAATCTTTGGGTGTGGGAGTCTCTTGCGATCCTCTGTTTCTCAAAGGTCGCAACCAAATTTTTTGCTCTTAAAGCCATGGATTTGGCTTTATCCAACAATGCAACCTCAGTTTCATCAACTCCTTTCACGGTTGCTCCATCAGGATTAGAATCCCAGATTTTGCGTGCTCTTGCGCCTATAAGACCACTATAATGCATGATTTTCTCTGCATCCTCAACGATGGCATGCAGTAACCTCGACTCTCTTCGAATCCACTTGATGTCTTCCTCTAAGAACAGAAACGGCGCATAGTTGATGTAGAAATAGAGAAACAATGGGGTAAGGCCGACACAAACAAGTGCTTGATACAGTGATATGTGATTTACATAACGGCAAATAAGATACACAGCAAAAAAGACAAGGAAGTGAGCATTGTGGAGAATGGAATCAATGAATGGCGAGGAATTGGTTGCTCTCTCCTTATTGTATGCAAAACTAACCATAGACAGAACTTTATCAAAATAATTCGAACCTCGATCTCCAGCAGGGTTCAAATCCATGACTTCTCCGGCGGCCGCGAATTGATGTAGCAGCAGCTTTGGTTTAAAGAAAACGGATTTGCTCAATTTGCAGTGAGTGCAAGGAGAAACAAATTGAAATATTCAAGGAGAAGAAAGAGTAGAGGAATTTGCTTTTACGGACACTGATCAGGTTACATTATTCTTTTGAACTTTTTTGCTTTCTCAGACCATTGAAGCAGTCTCTCCCTCTCTCTCTCTCTCTCTCTCTCTCTCTCTCTCTGTAGGGTACGCAGCTCCATGATTGATAAGGGAGGCCGATGTAGGAGTAGGTAGCACATAAATTATTGGGAATATATTTTTTTTTGGAATTGGATCCCCTCCTAAGCAAATGGTGGGGATCCTCATGACCACACAACACAGGTTGTTAGATTTTGATCCAACAGTTATAAATAGATGATCCTTTTAAGAATTATAATAATTATAGCCGTTGGATCCTGTGTTGTGTGGTCATGAGGATCCCCACCATTTGCTTAGGAGGGGATCCAATTCCCTTTTCTGTTTTTTTTTTTTTGTGGTTTGTTGTGAAATTGAGGATATGTGTGTAATGAGATATAAATAAATAAGAAATAATATTTACAAGGTTCGTTAAGTGTGCGTCCTAGGAACAGTAACAGTAACATTAATCTCTCTCATTAACAGAAATTACAAAGCAATAGAAACAAGGAGACTATATGTTTTCTTCTTGTGGTTTAATTTTAACCATATAATTTTATTAAAGTTAAATTTAACGGTGATGAAGGTTCCCCATTTTATTTTATTTTCTAAGAAATGGGGATCCCTTCCCGGCCTGCTCTTCTCTATACGGCTTTTTCTACATTTGTAAACTAATCTCCACCCACTTTTCTTGACTCTGTTTATTCATAAACGACTATAGTGCCATCCATCTGTCATCGACCTTTACCACGTGGTTCTGTTTTTCGTTGTTCATGCATTTAACATTATCTGTAAATTTTCAGCTACCTTTTTGGTTCTCTCTCTCTGGTACTTATTTTCTTGCTATTCTTCGTTGACTTCGAATCCAGGAATGAGTAACCTCAAGTTAGCGGTGGAGGTTGTGAGTGCCCATAACCTTATGCTGAGACATGGACAAAGCACAACCAGTGCTTATGTGGAGTTCCTGTTCGATCGTCAGAGAGCCCGAACCAGCACAAAAGCAAGAGATGTCAATCATGTTTGGAATGAAACCATCTTCTTTGATGTCTCCGATCCAAACCGCCTGCGTGACCTCGTTGTTGAGGCCAATGTTTTCCACAATGGAAATGCCAACTCTACAACTTTCCTTGGAAAGGTTTGTCTGCCTGGGACATCATTTGTCCCATACTCTGATGCTCATGTTTCGCTCTACTCTCTTAAAAAAAGAGGTGTTTTCTCTTTCTCCCGCGTGAGAGGAGAGCTTGCTCTGAAGGCTTACCTTGCAAACCCAAATCAATCGCAGCCATCGGTGAACCATGAGGCGAAGTCCGAATCCCATGAGCCTCCTAAAGTTGCTCCGAAGAACTCAGGTTCTTCATCTCGACCGTCTGATTATCTGCTTAAAGAGTCAAGTCCTTACTTGGGAGGGGGGCAGGTTGTTCGTGGGCGATTTGTGCGTGGAGACAGTCCAGTCATCAGCACCCATGAGCTTGTCGAAACAATGCATTACCTGTTTGTACGCGTTGTGAAGGCCCTCGACCTTTCTTGTCGTGACGCATATGTGGAAGTGAAAGTTGGGAACTGCAAAGGAATTACAAGAAGTTTGGAGAAAAAGCAGAACCCTGAATGGAATGAGGTGTTTGCATTTCTTAAGGAAAATCTGCACTCATCTGTTTTGGATGTTGTGGTCAAAGACAATGAACTTGTAAATGATGACTTTGTTGGGTCTGTGCAGTTTGCTCTCGATGAAGTTCAGACTCGAGTTCCAGTGGCTCCGGAAAGGCATCAGCTAGTAGACAAGGATGGGAAGAAGAAGAAGAAAGGGGAACTAATGCTTGCTGTATGGTATGGCACTCAAGCTGATGAAGCTTTTCCAAATGCCTGGTATTCTGATATAATTCTTCCTGATGATATGTCTTCAGCTGCTTATACACATGTCCGCTCAAAAGTTTACGATTCACCAAGATTATGGTACGTACGGGTAAAGGTGATTGAGGCACGGGACTTGGTTGTACCTGACACATCTCGAATCCCAGATGCATACGCAAGTATACAAATCGGTCATCAGTGTTTAAAGACAAGAGAAGTTCAATCTCTGAACCCAATGTGGAATGAGGAACTTATGTTTGTCACTGCCGAACCCTTTGATGATCAACATCTGATCGTTTCTGTTGAAGATCATGTATGTCCAGACAAAGAGGAGACATTAGGAAGAGTTTCCATAGCATTGAACTCCGTTAAGAGGTGCGGTGAATCTGCTGATGATGATCAAATTATCTGTGGGCAGTGGTTTAACCTTGACATGTCTCTGTCAAATGCCATGGAGAAAGATAGAGATCATAAGTTTTCCAGGAGAATCCATCTCCATGTTTGTCTAGATGGAGGGTACCATTTACTTGATGATTCTTCTAACTATTGCAACGACCTGCAGCGGCCTGTTGGTGTCTTAGAGCTCGGAGTTCTAAATGCCAAAGACCTAATGCCAATGAAAACAGAGACTGGGAAGGCTACAACTGACTCGTATTGTGTGGCGAAGTTTGGCGACAAATGGGTTCGTACTCGAACCATAACTAACAGCCCAAGTCCAAAATACAGTGAGCAGTACACTTGGGAGGTATATGATCCTGTCTCAATTCTCACAGTCGGGGTTTTTGATAACAGGCAGATTGGCAATTCAAGTGGAAAAAAAGATAAAGAAATTGGCAAGGTCCGGATTCGAATCTCTACCCTCGAATCAGACCGCGTGTACACACACTGTTATCCATTACTATCCCTTTCTCCTTCTGGTGTCAAGAAGACGGGCGAATTACATCTTGCAATAAGGTTTTCATGCATATCATTGGCCAATCTGATGTTGATTTACTTTCAACCCGTTTCGGTAAAGGTGCAGCCAGGCACATTGAGGGATCAAGCTGTGTTGGTGGTGGCAGATAGGCTTGCTCAGGTAGAACCACCTCTTGGGAAGGAAGTAGTTGAATACATGTACTCTGATGCTGCAGATGTTCATGTTTGGAGCCTGAGGCGCAGCAAGGCAAACTTTTTCAGAATGATGGGTGTTTTATCCTGGTTCATTTCTGTTCTGAAATGGTTTGATGAAGTATGTGCATGGAGAAGTTCCATTATAACAGTGCTAGTACATGTCCTGTTTGTGATGCTGGTGTGCACTCCGGAACTTATTTTGTCAACTGTTTTCCTATACATGTTCCTTACAGGGATTTCGAACTTGCGGTACCGCCCAAGACACCCTCTCCATGTGGACACAAGGCTCTCACATGCAGACGCTGCGCACCCTGATGAGCTTGATGAAGAATTTGACACATTTCCAACTTCACAAAACGATGAAATAATGAAGATGAGGTACGACCGCTTGAGGAGTATTGCCGGAAGGATTCAAACTGTGGTGGGGGATGTTGCAACGATGGGGGAGCGGATTCAGGAATTTCTCATCAGTTGGCGGGATCCTCGCGCCACTTTTATATTCATCACATTCTGTCTTTTTGTTGCCATTTTGTTGTTTGTGACACCGTTGAAGGTTGTAGTTATTGTTGGTGGGTTTTACTTGATGAGGCACCCCAGGTTGCGGCGTAGGAAACAAATGCCATCAATCCTGGCTAACTTCTACAGAAGGTTGCCCGAGAAGTCGGAGTGTATTTTTTAAATACCCCATTATTCACTTATTTAGATGTGGTAAAGTTAGTACCTTTGAATTTTCATGGTAATTCTTGTAAAACTTGCATGCTTGCTGCTCGAAAAATTCAAGCATACGGCTGTCGTAGTTCTCTCACAGGAAGTGGGCTTCAACCGTGACGTGAGTCCCACCCTCTGTTAGGGGGCTGCCGTATGTAACAGCCCGTATACAAGGATTTTGTCGTGCTGCTGTGATCTCCCAAATTAATTATTGATTTGGAAAAGCGTCGGTTTACAATTCGGAGTGCAGATTGTCTGCCCTCCTGTTTTGGTGTTATTTTCATCATCTTCTGTTTTATGCGGTCACAGTTAAGCCACATTAATATTTTATATTGATTTTTTTATAGAGATAATAAGACAAAAAATAGTAAGAATATAAAATAATAACGTGGTTTAACCGTAATCGCACAAACAAAAGGGAATGGGGAATGCATCAAAACAGGATGGCAGACAATCTGCCTCCTTACAATTCTTGTTTCATGTCTCTCTCTGACTAACAACAGTGAAAGCCAAATCTAGTGGAATCTAGTTGGGAGGCAGTCTGCCCTTCCACTTCTTGTGCCCTTTCGTGCCCTTCTGTTTGTGTGATCACGGTTAAGTCACATCAACGTTTTATATTACTATTTATTTTTGTCTTATTATCTCTATAAAAAAATTAATATAAAATATTAAAGTGACTTAACCGTTAACACACAAAACAAGAGGACAATGGAAGTGGGAGGGTGGAAAATCTACCTCCACCTAGTTGGGGTAGAGATTAATAATTGCATCTGCACATTTTAATAATGTAGCATTTGGTTCTATCTGACCGAAAAGGTAAGGTTGGGGACGGATTAGAAGAGGATCCTCTCCTGATCTTAAAAAATAGAGTCAGCTAAGCAGACAATCGTGGTCTTTGAAATTTAATTCAATGATTACAAACAAAAATATCTTTTAAAAGTTATAATAATGTAGCATTTGGTTCTATCTGACCGAAACGATAAGGTTGGGGACAATGAAAATGATGGAGTAGTCTTATTTTTAGGTCAGATAGAACAAGACAAGACTTACTATTTTATCAACAACAAGACAAGACTTATATTTTATCAACAATATACTTGTATTATAGAGGCAAGACTTACTATTTTATCAACGACAAGACAAGACTTATATTTTATCAACAATATACTTGTATTATAGAGGCAAAACTTACTATTTTATTTGAAAATGATGGAGTAGTCTTATCTTTTCACAACATAATTGTATTATATAGACAAGACTTACTATTTGATCAACAACAAGACAAGACTATTTCACCTAAATGTATTCGCTTTGGTTTGATTTGGTTCTATCTGACCATTATGTTGTGAAAAGAAGAATTCAAACCAAAGTGAATACTTTTAGGTGGAATAATCTTGTCTTGTTGTTGATCAAATAGTAAGTCTTGTCTCTATAATACAATTGTTAATAATTTTATTTACTTTATATGCAACTATACATATATCGATTATTATACAACATATTATAATTATTTTCATGTGAGCATGGGTCGGTTCGGCCCCGCCCCACTTTCAAATTGTCGATCAAATTGAATAATGTTATGAGGTTCAATCAAATCGACTGAAACTGAACCATTCAATGTTGGGTTTTTTTTTGGGGGGGGGGGGTGGGAAACTTTCAGTGTTGGTTTTGTCCGCTTCAAAAGGGCACACTTTTTACAAAAACCAAACCAAATCGAAGGATCTACTATGATCTAAGAGCAACTCCACCGTGGTGGATTGCTTGGGGGACATGCTAGAGAAAAGGGCCCAAGGCCCTGTGGATTCGCTCTAGCGTGAAGGGATCCCAAGCGGAGGTGGAGGCCCGATCTCCAGGCCTATGAAGAATTGCCAGCCCGAGAGCTTGAGTGGATGTGATGCCAGGGCTGACATCAGCCCGGTGTCAGGCCATTTTTTAATTTTTTTCTGTCATGCACGTGCACCCCACTCGCGAGTGGGGGCGCATTGCCCGACATCTTTTCAGACTGAAATGATACCGTTGGGAAGCCATGTGGCTTCCCACGGTCCATTCGATCTCAACTGCTCTTTAACTTGGACTGTTTGATCTCAACGGTAAAAAAAATAAAAAAAATCTTATTTAATATCAACGGTCGATATTAATATGCTTTATAAATAAATAAATAAAAGAAAAAATAGTTTTAAAATTAAGAAAAGTTACCGTTGTAACACGTGGCACAATCTGGAGTGTTGGAATTCAATTTTTTTAAATCCAATGGCAGAGATTAATTATTTGAATAAAAAAAATTTAAATTGTAAAAAATCCGAAAAAAAAATCTGAAAATTTAAAAAAAAAATGTTTTTACTTTTCTATAAAAATCTTATCCGAAATTACAAATAAAATTATTTTGTATTATTTTATAACTTTTCGGATAATAATACGTGGTGCAACGAGAACGATTAAAAATCTTATCCGAAATTACAAATAAAATTATTTTGTATTATTTTATAATAAAAAAATACTACTATTTTATTGCCTATTGCCAGGGCTATTGAAGTGCAACGGTGGAGATGCAAAAGTGTATTGCCTGGGGGATTACTGTTCATTAGGGCAGTTACTGTTCACTGGGTGGATAACATAGTGTATTGCCTGGGGGGAGGGCTCCAACGGTGGAGTTGCTCTAATGTGTTTTCCGTTGGCCGGCTTTTATGTCCACCCCTAGACAATTAATTTGAGTCAGCAACTTGGAGTTTGATGTTGTAGTTGTAGGGCAAGCCATGGCCTTGCAAGAACTACAAGGATAAATGTTTTCTCGTAATTGCAAACTGTCTATTTACCAAGTAATTTATACCTGGCGAGTCCTCTTATTTTTAGTTACACTCCAATTATGAATCGTTACTACATAAGTGAAGTCCGATATGATTTATAAGAAATTATCAATGTAGAATGTTCGTTATTTATCAATATGTTTAGGGGGAATAATAATATCAGCACATTAACTAAGCAATATTGAAAATCCGGTCTATGGTCGGACTACAGAGTTACAATCTGAAAAGCATAACATAGTTAGGACATCTTGAAAATGGATCATTCTTTGTAGTGAGTGACACTTAAATTCACTCCACAATCAACTTTGCCCTAACATGGCCCTCTGAAATTTGAAACTGTTCAGTTAAACCAAGATGTGCCATAAGAAGCCAGATATGAGTGAGCAGCTCTCCTCCTCGCCTGAGCTGCTGAGCATGATCACTCCACCGGCACTGATTGGCAGCGAAAGCAAGCATTTCCACCCACACATGACTTATAAACTCCCATTTTTTCTCATTGTTCTCCCAGTGTTTCTTAGACTCAAGGAACTGCAGAGCTTTAGCAAGCCTGCATGCATCAAATAGAACCGACTTGCTTCTATCTCCTTTCACTTTCGATGGAAGGATGTCTGTGCTCACTTTGAGCAACATTTTGCAGGCCGTTTCTCTATTCTTTATGGACTTTCTTTCGGTGATAAATTCCTCAGCCTCGGCACAGGTGTCTCTAAACCTTATCTGTCCAATCCCATTTGGCAGCATGAAGGGGCACATCACCAAAAGATACAACATATAGTTTGATAACACCTTGCTGGCTTCAGAATTTTTTTTAAGAATGCTGGCTTCAGAATTTGGACTATGATAAAATTCCAGATCAGAATAGTAACATAGATTTGTCGCAATATGCCAAAGAAGGATGCTTTGATCAAATTCGGCCCCGTTAATTGTCCAGCCAAGTTCATCTAGACATTTTGCTTTCTCAAGCACCATGTCACCCCTTCGAGCACATAGTTCTTTTCGTTTGCTGGCCTCGAAATTAGAAGCAGTCCTCGACTTCTCTAGCAGCTGCCCAAATATCAAATTCTTCAACTCTTTGGAAACATCCTTCAAGTCTCTGTATCGATACTTCTCTAGTAACCGATTTATAAACCAGTCCTCGTTGATGAAAATGCACTTTGCTGGCCTTTCTTTGAGACAAAATGTTATGAGGTCGTATTGTGCCAAGGTATTAGACCACCTCTTGTTTTTTATCAAAGCGATTGATGAAACCAATCTGAGCAAGAGATCTACTGCTGTGTTTTTGTGCTTGCTCAGCCACAGCAGGGTCCAGTCCGATGAAAGTAGGATGACAACTGCATAAAATTCTAAGACAATAGCTCCTACCAACAATATGTATGTGATAATTACATCCACTTTCATGTATTCTTGCTTCTCCGTGATCAACACGAAGGCCAGGAACACACAAACTGTGAAAGAAAGAGTAATGCAACGGAGTATTCCACCAAGACCAGAATAAACCAGAAGTGATTTAGTATAAAACACATCATACATGAACCCTAGCTCGAACTCAATAACCTCGAGAGCTTCCTCAGAGCTTCTATGTTGGAAGAACGATTGGCTGTTTTCTATATCGTGGAAGGTGAGGATGAGATCGGCACACAGCCGCTTGAAAGTTTCGAAGAAACTATAAGCTTTGTTTAAAACTGCAGCATTTTGGGCACTACTAGATTCATTAGCTTGAACTGCATCGGAATGATCAAAACCTATGGGAGCTTCAATGAATGTTTTCGGTTCAACCCTAAACCCCTCAGCTTTCTTTGAGCTGTATTCTTCCATGTATCTAGCATAATTCGGACCTGCGTCCGGAGGAGGGAGCATAGACTCTCGAAAATGCTCACTACTTGCAGACCTCAAAACCCAAGTCCTCTCCCCAAATTTTATAATTCCAACTACGAAAACGGGAATTGCCAAAAAATTCAACATTTTACTAGACCATGCTCTTATAAACACATACAAAGCTACAATCACCTGGACAACTACCCCAAGCAAGTGCCTAGGCCACAACTCATTATCCTCCAACGAGTAAGCAGTAATCGTATCTGGACCGCCGAGATGCAAGAGAAGAAACGGTGCCCAGAATGCTGTTATAACAAAGTTGGGGTTTACAGAATCACCTTCGGAGTCTTCCTGGTTGCTGGAGAGAATCCCGAGTGAGACGGTTGCTACGGAGTCAGCTGACAAGTAAGCGAGCCAGAGGACAATTCGGAGTATGTTGCTGGTTGAATGCTTTCTCCAGTTGCCGATCAGGATGAGGATGGTTTGCAAGGCAAGGCTGATTAAAACCATGGCCCGAAGCTCCCACTCGTTCCACGCTTCTCTCACGCTTTCGGGGAAAATTTGCATTGCCTTCCTTTTCTGTGTGAAGATCAAACTGCTTACAACTGCAGGAATGGATATTTTTTATTTTTGGAAAACATCAAATTGTATCAGTATATGTTTTATGTTTGCATAATTCATTGTACATAAAAGGAAGAAAAAAACGGGTGATCTCACCTCTGAGTAACATGATTGATCTGTTTTTTCAAGGACTTGATCCTTGTGCGTGCTTTAAGTTTCCAGTACCGCTAGCCTACGTAGTAGGTGCCAAGAAACAGAGTGAGTAAAAGAGCAAAACAAAATGTCAATTAGAGCAACTTCACCCTTGAAGTTCTCCCCAGGCAATCCACTATGCAATCCACCATGTGAACAATAACTACTCTAATGAACAGTAACTGATTTTTGCATCTCCACCCTTGCACTTGAATAGTCCTGGTAAAATATTATTAATTTTTTTTTACAAAATAATACTAAATAAATTTATTTGTAATTTCGGATAAGATATTTTAAATCGTTCTCGATGCGCCACATGTCATTTACCCAAAACGACTATTATTGGTCATAGATTTCGATAAGATTTTTATCCAATGTCATCGTGCCACGTGTTATTATCTTTTCAGAATCTTTGAGGATAGATTTCAATCAGATTTTAAATCGTTATCGTTGCGTCACATGTCATTATCCGAAAAGATAATTATTGATGATAGATTCGATAAGATTTTTATCCAATGTCGTCGTGTCACGTGTCGTTATCTTTTCAGAATCTTTTAGGATAGAATTCGATGAGATTTTTAACGAATGACGGCATGCCATGTGGCACTATCTACAACCTAATCATTTCAGAATCCTTCATATAATCCATCATCCATCCTTTTAAATCTCACACCAATTTTCTCAATATCTTTATCATTATTCATAGTTTCTGCTTCCTTCTTCACTAAATCAAAATCTGTATCATTATTTATAGTTTCTACTTACAATGTCTTCTTCTTCAAGCATGATGTGGGAAATCGATCAAGAAGAGAAAGAATTGTTTATCTAATCTGAAGGAATATTCAATCTCCATATAGCCCAAAATGAGAAGGAAGAGGATGAGGAGCGGAGAATGAGAGATGACGAATTAAGAATGGCCAGAGACTCACATTCCCGTCGAGTCATCCAAGTTGTGGCTCAGATATACAGGCCCACCCGTTTCGGAAACCTTGATAGAAGGAGGCAGCAACGAGGTGTGGAGCAGTTGGACGATTATTTTGTCCATAATAGTGCATTTCCTGATACGTACTTCAGACGTCGTTTTAGAATGGAACGACATTTGTTCAACAAAATCATGATTGCGGTTTGCAACCATGATTCTTACTTTCAGCAAAAGAAGAATGCATGTGGTGCTATGGGTCTCCTTCCCGAGCAAAAAATTACTGTTGCGCTGCGGATGCTTGCGTATGGAGCATTGCGTATGGAGCATCTGTAGACCAAATGGATGAGATAACGAAGATGAGGAAATCAACCATTCTTGAGTCCCTGATGAGGTTTTGCGGAGCAATCGAATCTATCTACACCGTAGAGTACCTCCGAAAACCTACTCACATGGACTTGGAAAGGCTTCTGAAGAATGCCGAGATGCGAGGTTTTCCTGGAATGATTGGGAGCATTGATTGTATGCATTGGATGTGGAAAAAATGTCCAAGTACATGGCAAGGCGCTTATGGAGATAGAAAATGAGCAAAAATTATCATTTTGGAGGCGGTGACATCTTTTGATACATGGATTTGACAATCATTTTTCGGGGTTCCGGGAGCTCAAAATGACCTCAACGTTCTTACCCAATCCCCAGTGTTCAATGATGTCCTGCACGGAAAGGCACCAAAAGTCACGTATGAGGTCAACGGACGTATGTACAACGGGTCATACTACCTAGCTAACGGCATTTACCCAAGGTGGTCAACATTTGTCAAAACAGCGCCACGTCCGCGAAGTGCAAAGGAAAAACACTTTGCAAGGTGTCAAGAGGGATACAAGAAGGATGTGGAGCGTTGTTTCGGTATCCTTCAAGCTCGCTGGGCGATCGTCAGGGATGCTGCCAGATTGTTTGATGTAGAGTCGCTTCGATCCATCATGATGACATGCATCATTCTTCACAACATGATTGTGGAAGATGAGTACGATTATGAAGCTGTTGATGAATATGAGCCAGACACGATGAACAATTCAAGAACACATATATATTGTGCTCATGATGCCACCGATGAGCCCGTGCAACATGAGCCATTAGAAAGGGATGAACGTTACAATGAAAGGGTCATTCAACGATATACTGCATTTCAAAGGCCAGACATGCACAATGCCAGGCAAAATGACTTGATAGAGTACCAGTGGGCATTGAAACAAGCTGAAGATAATAAAGTTCATTTAGTGTGTTTTTTATTATTTGGTATGTTTATGTAATTTTATTTGGTGTGTTTTATTTTGGTTCATTTAGTGAGGTTTTTATTATTTGGTGTTTATGTAATTTTATTTGGTATGTTTTATTTGGTGTTCATTTCGTGAGTTTTTTATTTGGTGTGTTTATGTCATTTGAATAAAGATTCTCTTATGTAATTTTTTTTTTTTAAATTTTCAGATATTTTTTCAGATTTTTTACAATTTTTAAATTTTTTTTATTCAAATAATTAAACTCTGTCGTTGGATTTAAAAAAATTGAATTCCAACACTCCAGATTACGCCACGTGTCACAACGGTAACTTTTTTTAATTTTAAAACTATTTTTTCTTTTTTCTTTTTTAAATTTATAAAGCAGATTAACATCAACCGTTGATCTCAGATCGAATGGTTGATATTAAATCAGCTTTTTTTTTATTACCGTTGGAAATCGAACGGCTCGTATTAAAGAGCTGTTGGGATTGAACGGACCGTGGGAAGCCACGTGGCTTCCCAACAGTCACCTGCATTTCCTGGGGCGCGGGCCCTATGCCCTGTAAACTTGTAGGCTGACGCGCCCCCACTCGCGAGTGAGGGGCACGCGCCTGACACAAAAAAAATAAAAAAACCACCGACGCCAGGCCTGGCGTCAGGCTGACCCCACACACAACTCGGGCTGTCGGGCTGTCAATTCTCCACAGGCCTAACCCTCGAGCTCCCACCTTGACTCGGGCTGCCCAAGGCTGGAGGCCTATCCACCGGCCCTCGGGCCTTTTCCCTTCGCCTGTCCCCCGAGCAACCACCAAGGGTGGAGTTGCTCTTAGTATACATTCTAGTGATATTCCTCTTCATTTGTAAGTAAGAAGTCTTAGATTTAATTCTCGCAAAAGTTGAATTTGAACCACATTATTGCAGCCTATTATAAGGCTTAGCCTACCTCACTTTCCCTTAGTTTAGTGTAGATAATATCGTTTGTTAAAAAGAAAATAGCAAAGCAAAATAAAATTTTGATCCCAAAATTTTGTGCTAATGCAGTGGATGAGCAATTTTTTTATTTTTTATTTTTAGCATCTAGAGGCGCTTAGTGCCAACACGTATTTTACCAATCGAGAACTGTTGGATCGGCACTCAGTGCCTGTATGTAGTCTAGAAAAATCAGTATAGAAGAATTTTACCTACTTTCTTTGTAATTGAAGGTGATGCATGCAGGTACTAAAGAAAAATCAGTGGACATCTTCAAGGTCAGTGGGAGGAAAACGAGGAGGAGATTAGAGCCATTGTTGCCAATATTGAAAAGCTAGATGAATGGGATGAATTATTCTGGAGGCAACGATCCCGTATAAAATGGCTCAAAGAAGGAGATTCAAACTCTCGTTTTTTTTCCACCAAACCACAATTCAGCGAAGACATTTTAATAGAATTGCAAAGCTGCAAGATGGGAGGGGGGTGTGGCAGGAAGATAGCGAAGGAATCAAACGGGTGATAAACGACCATTTCACTGGTCTTTTTACGTCGGGGGGGGGGGGGCATGAGGGAGTGGGGTCAAGTCTTTGACTATATTCATTCATCGGTCTCAGAGGAAATGAATGATAAGCTTTGTGAGTCATTTTCTTTGACAGAGATAAAGGAGGCGGTTTTCCAAATTGGTGGTTTGAAGGCGCCTGACCCAGATGGATTCTAGGGGGTCTTCTATCAATCCTTTTGAGATATTATTAGGGAAAAGGTGAATGGGTTGGTGGAGGATTTTGCCACCGGAAGGGAGATCATGAGGAAGTTAACTCCACTCACATTGTCCTTATTCCAAAAGTTGCAAACCCATCCTCGGTGAGTCAATTTAGGCCGATATGTAATTACTCTTATAAAATCTTCTCTAAACTGCTGGCCAATAGATTAAAGCATTGGTTACCTAGAATCATATCCCCGACCCAGAACGCGTTTATGGAGGGCCAGCAGATCCAGGACGATATTTTAATGGCCCATGAGGTGTTCCATTTTCTCAAGCTTTGGAAAGTGAAAACTAAATTTGAGCTAGCTATGAAGATTGATATGAATAAGGCATATGATAGGATTGAATGGGATTTCTTGAAGGCAGTCATGATCCGAATGGGTTTTGGTGGGATGTGGATAAGGTTGGTAATGGGATATGCATCCACTGTGGATTTCTCGGTCCTAGTGAATGGATAACCAAGGAGAAAGTTCAAGCCGTCGCGGGGGCTCCGGCAGGGCAACCCCTATCTCCATATCTCTTCCTCATCTTTACAGACGTGCTCTCGAGGCTAATTAATGGTGCGGTGGATGGTGGTTTTATTGAAGGTATTCAGTTAAGTATGAACGGGTCGTGTCTATCCCATCTATTGTTTGCAAAAGATACGCTTATATTCCTCCGTGCAACACGGCCCAACTGTCAGAACATAACCCACCTCTTAAAGCCCTATTGCACTACCTCAGGTCAAGAAGTTAGCATGCAAAAATCATCTGTTTTCTTTGGTGCCAACACCCCGGGAGAACTCCCGAACGAATTGGTGAGCATCCTGGGTATGCTGCAGGTTCAGGATCCAGGAAACTATTTGGGAATCCCAACAGTGTGTGGAAGAACGAAGCGGGAGGCACTAGCTTTTGTAAAAGACAAGGTTTTAGCAAAGATTCAAGGGTGGAAGCAGGGTTTCTTATCCAAGCCGGTATGGAAGTTTTGATAAAAGTAGTGACTCAGGCAATTCCTGCTTACCCAATGAACATATTCTGTTTCCCGGACAATATTTGTAATGATATTGATGTGGCAATGGCCAAATTATGGTGGGGTCAAAGAGAGGGGGAACAAAAGATACATTGGGTGAGTTGTGAAAACTTGGGTCTGTCGAAGCATGAGGGCGGCATGGGCTTCTGTAACCTTAAGAAGTTTA